GCTGAGCCACTAACAGTCTCTCTCTCAACAACTAAAGAGTCTCGTGGTGGGCATTATTTGGTTGCAGACAGTATGGCAGTCTGTGGCAGTGTGTCTGTGTTCTGCTTTGCAGCCTGAGACTGCCTGAAAGTGAAATAAGCTCAGTGTTTAGGAACCCTTTGTTGTGCCCAAGGCTTCTCAGATAAACCTGTCACCGTTCTGCAACAGAAAGCCATTTCTCCTTCCCAAGGGGAAGTACTGGGGTTCTTGTGCACAAGCTCCATTTCTGTGTTTTGCGCATTCACCTGTATTTCCCCATGTTGCCAGCAGAACAACCAGACTGGGTTTTGGCTTTCCTCATTATTTTTTGTATTAATTTGAGGCTTTACTTTTCCATCTTTTCTCCTTCAGCCCATCATTAATGGTTACCGAAACAAATCCACTTTCTCTGTGAACCAAGGACCGGATGGGAACCTCAAAACTGTGGGGTTGTATGTAGGAACTGGCAGAGGTCAGTGCAGGACAAGAAAGTCATAGACAACTGCTGGTGTGGGCTGGGCTGGGGCAAGGCTCTGCTGTGACAGCCTCTACCCAAGTTAGAAGCCTAAATCCTGGAGGATGCCAACAGAAACAAATCTGGGTCAGCAATTTTAACACTTCATCAGCTTAAGAAACACCAGCTTCCAGTGTGCAAAATACAGCAGGAAGCAGGATGGATGTGGTAGCAGCCCCTCCAGGATTCAGCTTTGTTATTCTTAACTATGCTGTTCCCATGTTTTTGGAGCTGAGCAGGAAGAGCATGGGGGGGAGCTGCACTTCCATAGGCAGCAGAGCAACATTGGAGCATTGGGCTGCATGAGGCAGTTTGGTTTTGTGCAATAAAGATTTGAGCAGTGTATGCTCCTTACATGCTGCTTAGTGGTGAACTTGTTCACAACATCCATACTGGGTGCTGCTTGTCAACATCCAGAGCAAGAGGCACTGGAGTGGTCACTGGATACATTTCTCATGGGAAAAACAATTCTATGGATGCATTTTACCTCTGACAGCAGTCTAGCATTTAAACTGAGGTGGGAATGCTGTCTTCCAGACAACCTGTAAGCCCACACCATTAGTCTCCAGTCAGAAAACCAGCTTGCTCTGCTCTGGCTCCCTTTGTTTACCAGTACAGTGGCTCCTTTGGGAGTTGGTAGAGGACATTTAAAGAGCTCCCAGAGCTCCAGCTGATTCATGGAATTTAGAGACAGTAATCACAGGCAAAGGGAATTCTGGCAAGTACCCATACCATCACAGGATTTGGTGAAGCACTTAGATACCATTTTTTCTGTTTTCTTCTTTTTTTTTTCTTTTTTTGTACAATGGGAGAATTCAGGGGAACGGCCACTCTACAGTTTATCATGTCAGATACTGCAGTGGCTTATGTGCCCCGAGGCAGAACAAGTAAATACCTGTCCGTCTCTCTCCAGAAAGAAATATTGTCTGTGTGAAAGCCTATCACATGGAGAACATACCCCAGAAACACAAACAAGTAGCCCAGGTAAATAAATTGTGTCTGTCCCTAGACTATGGAATAGAGAGAATGTGACAACTCTTATTTGGGAGAACATTGTAGTTTTAGTTACACTGTGTTTTCAGGTTTGTTTTCATGGACTGGTAATTTCATGCCTGATTTTGGTTGATGGATATTTTTTTTTTCAAACTTGCATGTTAATATTGAGCCTCTAGACTGTCTCAAAGAATGAAGTTAATCAAGTGACAATGAATTCCTGCCAATCTATTAAAATACAGAAGAATTACAAATTGAAGTTATTAAAATGTCTTGTCTTTCAAGAGCTTGGGAAGAGCTTTCACCTAGTGTATTGAAATCAAACAGAAAAAACAGATCACATGGGTGGAAGGGCTGCCTGTCTGGGGGGCTAAGACCAGGGCAGTTGTCTTCATGCTATTACAAGTGCCTTTTTCCCTCCATTCAGTGCTATGAAGAGTTCATCTGTCGCTCCCCCCTGGCTCCCTGCATCCTCTTCCATGAAGGTGGACACTGGCGGGAGCTTGTGGTTCGAACCACCAGCTGTGGCCACACCATGGCTATCATCACTTTCCACCCCCAGGATCTGGGCCAGGTGAGTACATGGAGGCCAGGGCCCCTGGCAAAGGGCACATCAGATATCTGGCTGACCTGAGCATGCTGGCTGTATCACTGGGGAGAGGTGTCTAATCACATTACCCAAACAGGCAGGTTTTCCTTTCTCACTCTTGACAGGAGGCACTAGCTACTCAGAAAGCATTGCTTAAGGAGTTCTTCACATCTGGACCTGGAACAGTCTGTGCCTTGACTTCACTTTATTTTCAAGAGAGGTATATGTCTTGACATGGGGAATGAGTGGAAACAAAGCCACCTCCTTTTTCTCCCCCTCTACCTCTGATCAGATTCAAATTCTACCACTTCAGGGAGTGCTTGAAGAGAATGACAGATCTTTGAATCCCTCTTGAAGATGTGGTTTTAAGATGGCCTCATCTTTTGTTTTTCCAGACCTGAAATACTTGAACATGCTATGAGCCTGGAAAACTAAAGACAAAACCTACAGTGACTTCCTCATGACAGTAAATTGCATTAGCAGCAAAACTGGGGAATAGACCCAAGGACCGCTGCCTTCTATGAGTCATTTTGATCCTTATAAAGAAATCTAGGCTGTGCAAGTCACAGATCACTTACAAAGAATCAAAATTCTTAGATCTTGTTGAAAAGCTCACATGAAATAAAAGTTGCTGTGGGGAAGAACCATCCTCCCCTGCCCATAAGCACCCTGGGAATGGGAACCAGCTGCCTCTGCTGCCTTCTAATAGCTGGTTTTTGTGTTGTAGCACCATGACACGCTGCTCCCATGAACAGTCTCCCTACCAGCTCCTCCATGGAGAACCACACATCTTTGAAGAACTACTTGGCCTGAAGTTTCGCATCTCTCCAGATGCCTTTTTCCAAGTCAACACAGCTGGAGCAGAAGTTCTGTACCAGGCAGTTGGGGAACTCTGTCAGGCTACTGGGGACACTGTCCTCCTCGACATCTGCTGTGGGACAGGTGGGTAGTTGCAATGAGTGTGGACTCCCAGCGCTGCCAGAACTGAGCCTCGCTCTGTAAAGACCTGAATGTACGGAGTGTTTTTGTTTCCCTTGTTCTCAGGCACAATTGGTCTCTCTCTGGCTCAGCAAGTGTCCAAGGTTATTGGTGTTGAGGTGGTGGAGAAGGCAATAGAGGATGCTAAGTGGAATGCGGCATTCAATGGTGAGTTCAAACTCAGCAGAAAGTTTCAAACTACTGCTGAAAAATGGGAAGTAGAATTGAGCAGAGGGACCCTAACCAGTTACCTTCACACAGCCAAGGACAGTTCATGTTATACCTAACACTTGGCAAGACTCGGTTCATGTGGTTGCTTTTTGCTTCACAGGAATCTCAAACTGTGAGTTTCACAGTGGGAAGGCAGAGGTTGTATTACCACAGCTCCTGTCATCATGGGAGGACTCTCGACCGCTTGTTGCTGTGGTGAACCCATCTCGGGCTGGGCTGCGTGAGACAATATACTATTTATTTCCATCTTGTAAACAGGGAATTGTGCACAAGTTCTATGAGACCTGTTATACTGGCTCCAAGCCCTTTGCTTGCTTAGTCTCTAGTTTTTTACCTTGTTGCTGACAGCAGCTAAAATCCCAGAGTCTGCTGGTTTTAGTGGCTTTATCATGCTTTCTCTTTAAAGCAAACAGCTCTAATCTCTTTGCCATCTTTCAGGCTCACACAATTATTTAGGAGAGAAGGGACCTCTGGAGGTGTGTGGTACAATCTCCCAACTATAGCAAGGCCAACTTCAGAGTTGTATAAGGTTGCATAGGGCTAGAAAGCCTCGTTGAGGTTTGAACGTGTCCAAGGGTGGATCCCCTCTTCTGAAAATGTTTTTTTCTAATATACTTAATCAAAAATTCCCCTTGCTGCTGTGCATCTGTTGCCTCTCATCCTCTTCTCATGCCCCTGTGAGAAGATTCTGGGTCCGTGTTCTCTGTAATCCCCCATGAGGTCCCTGAAGATAGCAAATGGATCCTTTGCTTACCTTCTCTTCCCCAGGCTGCTGTGCCCCAGCCCTCTAACCATCTCAGTGGTCTCCCCTGGACTCACTCCAGTGTGTACTGGAAAGTCACAAACCAGTCCAGATGCCCAGGTGCACTCTCACAAGTGCATGTGGAAGGTTTTATGTGCCTTTGCTTAATTAAGTAACAGTTTTTCGCTCATCCTTCATCCCCCTGGGAAGCAGAGGGATTTCTCCCACTACTCTACCCTGCCATACTGGCTAAGCTGTCAGCAAGTGTAGGCACACCAGAGGGACTGTACCTGAGACAGAACATGGCAAAATATGTGTATTTCCCTGCCCTGTATTTTTGACAGCTCAGTGCAGCTCAGCACTGGGAAGGCAGAGTGTGTGTTTTCACAGATTACAGGGTTGTGAGAGCCATCCGGAACTGCAGGGCCATCCGCAGGCTGCTCTACATCTCCTGCAAGCCCGAGGGTGAAGCCATGAGGAACTTTATTGAGTGAGTACTCTCCTCCTTTCCACTGACCTTACTGACACACCCTAACATGTCCAGACAAGGCTTAGGAAGTTGTGATTAAATTTCTGTGGTGAGTTCTGCAGGTGAGACCCAGGACTAAGTGCATAGTCAGAAGGGTCTATGCTTCTCTGTTACTTTGGGTTTCCCTGCTGTGCTCAATGGTTTAAGGGGTGTTCTTTGGGTTTTATGTTCCAGTAGGGTGCTTTAGGGCATCAGTGAAGAATAGAAAACAATGCAAACATGTTACAATGGCATGGTGCATCCTTCTCCAACAAAAGAGCACATCTAGGGGATTTTAGTCACCTGCTTAGGGTTAATCATGTATCTTTATCTGTTCAGCCTTTGTCTGGGCTAGGACAGTTTGCAAGTGCTAAGTCTGTCTGTAGGTAACTAATGAAGGTAGTGCAAAACTGAAAATTGTTGCCCAAGTGTATGAAGTATTTTTCAGTTGGGATGGCTTGGGAGAAAGGGAGCTTTAAACTTGCCACTGACTCTTCAGCTTGTTCCTGAGGTTTTCAGAGCTAGTTTGGGATTCAGTATTGATGATTCCACACCTCAGCCAGTGTCAGCTGCCAACTCTGGGGAATGTTAGCCAAACACATGATACCTCCTCCTCAGATCCTCTGCGCTACTGTGCTACAACTAATGGTGGGAAGGCTTCTGCTACTGGTCTAAAGGATGTTCTTTGTTTTCCACAGGCTGTGCTGCCCACCTGACCCAGGGAAGAAGCTGAGAGAAGAGCCATTTGCCCCCATGTTGGCTATACCTTTTGACATGTTTCCTCATACTGTTCATTGTGAGCTGGTGCTGCTCTTCACCCGCTGACAGGGACTGTGCCAGCTCTGAGAGCTTGGGGAGCAATCTCCTACTGTCCTGAAGACTTGAGTCAATGTAGTTAGGATTTTAACTTATTTTCATGAAAGTTGTATAAAAATAAATAATTTTGCTTTTGCTTTTACTTTGGGTTGCCTAGCAACACTGTTCTGTAAGGAATCACTTGGATTTCTGGGGTGAAAAGGTTCTCTGTAGCATTTCATCACCCTTCCTTCCTCTGCAATCCTGTTCTTGGGCTGCTGCTTAAAGCAGCTTGGAAAATCCCCTCTCCCTGTGTTGAGGAATAAGCCCAGGGCTGGTAGCTTGGTGTTCCAGCTGCAGTATCGCTCTGGGTAGTGGGAAGTTGCTGGAGCTCCAGGCAAGGAGCCATGAATGGACCCTGACAAAGGGCACAGGGACCTGTGGTGCCAGGCAGGGGGTGGGTGGGTGGTCACCCACTCTGCAGGACTCAACAAAAAAAAGAAGACCCCAGACCCTAATATTCCAGTGGTCAGAACTGTTGTGCAAGGGGTGGGAGATTTAGCATATAGGGGTATAAAAGCCCAGGGATTCCTTTGCTGGGATCCCTCCCTGGAGGCATCAGCTGGAGCAGTTGTTACAGCTCTGTGCCACAATTAAAATATAGGAATGAGGTGTCTGAGGCTCTAATACAGGAAACTTGTCTGACTGTGTCAGTGTGGTGTGCAGGGAGTCAAGCAGGGGAACTGCTGCTGCAAAGGGGCTTTGGTCCCAGCAGTGACAGTCTGGGGTGGTGCAAGTGTGACTCCAGGAGTGGCATCTGAATGCTCAGACAAGGAAGGTTCCACAACACCTGGTATTACAGGTTTTCACTATTGACATGTGGATACGTGTGCTAAAATCTACTGCATGTTCTAGTACTGCCATGCTATTAGTTCTCTGCTTGCTTCAAGGATATTCCAGTGTTTTTCAAGTTGATAGTGAACTTGCTATGAAGAAACCATAGGAACTAGAAATCCTCATGCTTCAATGGGAAAATGTTGAATTTTGGGGTCAGGGAAATACTTCCTGTATAAACTTCCAAAATCAGTATTGAGTTGCTGTCAGTCACATGGATAAATTGGAGGCAATGAGATTTTTCTGTAAACAAAAAAGAACATATTTCAGTGTCTCTCCTTACACATCTGCCTCCCCCTTCTCCACTAATGCTCACATACCTAAGTATGAAGTACCCTGTGTAAACATCAGCAGCAACATTTTTCCTCCTCAGGTTGTTCTGCATCCTAATTCAAAAATTTCTGTTTGTACCTGTCCTATCCTGCTCCCTGTGAACCTCAGTGTCATATGAAGGTCTCTCCAGCTCTTCAAGAGATGGAGCTGCTGTAACAGGGAGGGAGGGAGGTCTGAGTGAGCAGAGTTCCATTGTGTTTTGTGAAGCCCATGATGTTTTGAATCAAGGCTGATAAACTCCCAAGGAAACAGGGAGAGCTGCCTGTATTTTTCTGACTTTTAGCTCCAGTCTTAAGGAACCCTGAGCTTGGAACAATAACAATAACCACCAGTTCTCAAGCCATGGGGGCTTAAAAAACATGTGTTTAGGACTTGAGCCTTACTACACCAGAAAGGGAGGTGGTGGGGAGATTTCTGACAGGCATAGGAAGTGTCAGTCTTGCACTATCCCGTGAGTGTAAGATTTTTGCACACTGTTACATCCAGCTGGTTTCATTTTATACAAAGGATGCAGTATTGCAGCAGTTCTGTTTTGTATTATTATACTTTGGCTTCTCACTATGAGATCTGAATAGATTTCTGTTTAGACTGGTTGTGCTTTGGGCAAAAGGAAATTTGTTGCAATTGCAAGAGAGAGAATGACTTAAAATCAGAATGTAATAGAGGATCAGAAAACCTTTCTCCTGGTGTCTGGAAGGCTGAACATACAGGACAGGTTATATCTGCAATGGGGGAGGGTGACACAAGTGGCCTCACCATCCCTTTTGGGCATCAGGTTCCAGGAGAGCCAGAGGGACAAGACATCTCTTGTCCCTCTGGCTAAGCAATAAGTTGTTTGCTGTGTATAAGCATCTGAGAATCTAAAACTAAAAGCTGTCTATGTACAAGAGACCTCTGGCCACTGTTCCTCCATTAGCATGTTATTCCCGTGCCCTCTGATAATATGCCCTTGTTTTCCCAGCAGTGAGCAAGCTCTGCATTCGGCTGCCTTCCCCCATCCCCAGGGCTGGCTCAGTTTCGGCTTTCTGTGGGCGATTTATGGCACATTTGGGGAAACAGAGGATGCCTTACTGGTAGGAGCACTCCAGGTGCTGGAGCTGCCTGGCTCTGGCTGCAGGGCATTAGGACCCAGCAGCTGCTGAGTGGAGGAGGCTGAATCCCCTCCCGCTGTCATCCTCCTGCCTCTGCAGCTTTATTCCTACAGCCTTCAATGGTGACGGACTCCCTCCCACCCGGGCTCGCAGCCAGAGCCAGAAGGCCTCGCTAGGACCTGCTCCCAGCAGCTCTATGGCATCTCCCAGGACTATCACCATCGTCGCCCTCTCGGTGGCCCTGGGGCTCTTCTTTGTCTTTATGGGGACCATCAAACTGACCCCTCGGCTCAGCAGAGATGCCTACAACGAGATGGTGAGTCGGGCAGCGGCGGCTTGGAGGGACGTGCGTTAGGGCTCTCTCCCTTCCACCTTGCGGCAGGAGCAGGGGGTACACAGAGGGTCACTGCTCTGCAGCCCTGAGCGATGGACAGGGCAGCGAAAGCGCTTTTGTGTCTTCTTAGTGGATAGACATGGAGAGAAACAAATAATATGCAGTGCTTGCCTGGGCTCCATCTAACCTGTCTGTGAGGATAAGGATGGGGGGGCAGGGGGCAAGGAGGACAGGGTAGCACAGCACTGCAAAAGATGGGGACAAAGGGGGCTCTGGAAAGCAAGGTCTGAAGAAGGGCCAGACATACAGCAGGCAGGGACAGCTGATCCCTGGCGGAAAACCTAACGCCTGGATGGGGGGTAGGAAAAGCAGATGCCTGCTTTGGCAGCCAGATGCTCATCCTCAGAATTCTGTGCTTTATAGCAAGGATAATGACACTGTCTCTACCTCACCAGACTTGTGCAGGGATTAATTCATGAATGTGACATGCTTTGAGATTCTTAGCTGGCAGAGGAAGACATTATTAATTGTCATCTTATTATTGTCTTCAGCCTTGGAAATGAGCCTCTCCTCTTGCCTAACAGAAAAGGGGTGAGGAGAGGATGGAGAAGTCACTGTGTGCATTTCTTACTTGGTGAGCTGGTTTATGCTTCTCTCTGCTCAGGGCCAGCCCTACTGCAGAGCTGTGCCAGCTGTGAGCTGTAGGCAGGTGAGGGACTGGCTGCCACATTTAGCTTCCTCATCTGTGCTTATTTATTCTCCTGCCCCCTCACACTCCTCCAGTTACATTTATTGCAGTGTTTGAAAAGCATTGGTATAATTTTTGTGTCCTTAAAAAAATAGTGCTGGATGTTTCCAGCACATTCTGTTCTCCCCCTTTGCTCCACCTGCCCAGATGCTTTTCCTTAGCTCTCAAATAACATCTGAATTGCAGTGCTTGTCTGCAGCCCAGCACAGGGATCTCACAGGGAAGAATCCGCAAGAAGTAACTCACGAGCAAGAGACAGAGATAAAACACCCAGAAAACAAAGCCCTTAAGCTTCTGGTACAGGAAAAAAAAAAAAGCCCTGAGACTTTAGAGGCATTGCAAAATGCATTGCTCTGCGAAATATTTCACTTCTTTATCCCTTTCTGCTTTACGGAGAGTCAGGCCTACAGGTAGGAATGATCTGTGTTTTGATAAAGAGGAAGAAGATATTACACAGCACCTTTATTTTGCAGGGCCCATATTGTTACACATTCATGGCTCATCAGGCTTTCCTGCCTTTGCGGTGCTGTGGAGACAGCTAGGGAAAACCTGACCTTGCCAATCCATAAGGATGGCTTTTTGTCCCCAGCAAACAGAGAACTTCTGTTATCTGCCTGTAACACCAGACTTGCAGCTTTTCATTCAGCAAAAACCTCACTAGTTTGTCTATTAAAATACCTAAAATACCAGAGTACTATAGGACATGCTTATAGTACAATTCTTTAAAAAGCTGTATATTTCACAACTTTTTAATGATACTCTGCTCTGGGATTTTAGTCACTGATGGTTTAAAATACCTCCTTACAATGCATACACTTCAGAGTAAATGTGGCATGAGATTTTCAGTTATTTTGTAGCAATACCGGCACTGCTGTATATTTTTAAACCATATATGAAGTGTCAGATCCTCTTAGAAGCAAGCATCAACATCTACAGAGAAGTGGGGAAGTTCTGTGTGCCAATAACACAGGTTTCCAAAACTCTGTGGAAGCAAATCCACAATCTGACCAGTGCCTGTGAGAGCTCAGCAACTCTGTACTTGAGATTTGCCTTCCATTTCCCTCTCCCTGGTTAGAAAGCAGAGAACACAATGGCAGGAACATCTGCAGAGATACTGTTACATTCAAGTGTAAGTGGAAGTAATTTCAGTGTCTTGAATAACTAGGATTAATTTAAGAATAACTCATCTTTATTAAAATATACATAAAAAAGGAAATGACTGAACAAAAAAAAAGACAAACAAATCAATAAGCCCACTAGCACCTAATGTTCAAATGCAAGAACCTGAACATGGGTAACGACAGAGATTGTTTCTTCCCCTAAAAAGTGAGGCAGCTGTGTAAGCAGGCTGAGTCTTGCAACTTACACTGCTGCTAAATCCAGTGTAAACGATATCAAATGTCAGTTTGCTTTCATCTGAGAAAAGAAAGGGTCATAAAGGTGTATAAGCACAGGATGGGGTTGGTGAATCTCAGCTTTGATGTATGATCCCATGTTAAGATTGCACTGTCCATGGAATATTTTAAGTTGCTTTTGGGTAGAAAGAGACTTCTGTATTTACTTGCTGTGCCTTGGCTTTGCAGGGACTCGGAGTGTTACCAAATTTTAAAGGATAAGCTACTCTTAGAGAGAGGTACTTTTTTATTAACAACATGGTTCTGCACTGCTAATTCTAGCAATCAGAACTTCAGCTTTCAGGATGAGGTACATCTGGCCTGGTTCCAAAGATGGGTGCTGGGTTGCAGACTTGTTTTCAGCAAGGAGACAACAGCTTATAAAGGGGGAATTGCAGGTTTGGTGGTTTAATATCCCCCTCAACAGAAGCTTTACAGATTGGATAATGTGCCAGAGGGGTGTTGAAGTAACCCTTAGGTCCTATTGCAGATCAGTCTGTTTCAATGGAAGTCACTTTTGCCTTCACTGTCTCACATATCCTGTGAGATGTGTAATCACTGTATCACTATCACTGATTTCAGAAACGAGCATACAAAAGCTATGTGCGGGCCCTGCCCATGCTAAAGAAGATGGGAGTCAGCTCCATCCTCCTCCGCAAGAGCATCGGTGCCCTGGAAGTGGCATGTGGCATTGTCATGACACTGGTGCCTGGACGCCCCAAAGATGTGGCCAACTTTCTCCTCCTCCTCCTTGTGCTGGCTGTGCTCTTCTTCCACCAGCTCGTGGGGGACCCACTCAAGCGTTATGCCCATGCCCTGGTCTTTGGGATCCTGCTCACCTGTCGCCTGCTGATTGCTCGCCAGCCGGAGGAGCTGCCCCCGGAAAAGAGGATGCTGTCAGTGAATGGGGATGAGCAGCCACTCATCCATGAAGCAGCTCCTGAGAAAGGCAAAATGAAGGTATCCTAGTTGAGTTCTTGTGGGAAATACGGACCCTCGAGGCAGCTGGCTCAAAAATCACCCAGAAAATTTGGTTTTTCTTTACCTATTTGCATTTTCTTTTGTCTGTCTAAATAAAGTTGCACTTGGGGTCTGAGAGATACAAGGTATGTCTACACTGTAGTCTTGCTTTTGCTGCTGCCCTGTAATGTAGAAAAATACAAGCTAGCTTTCACAGGGACAGCTTGGAGGCAGTCAGCAACCTGGCTGGAGCAGTGTTGGCCTCAGCAGGAGCTGCAAAACCAGGCTGAGACCCTGAGCAGAGACTTGGGAGGAGAGTCAGGCTGCCTTGGTACTGCTCCAAGGCCAGACCAGTCCCTGAGCATCAGCCCTGAGCCTCACAGCTGCAGAGATCTGGCCTGGACGCACTGCTGCTGCCTGGCAGTCTGGCAGCAGTGGGCAGGACAGAAACAGTGTCTCTGTGCTGGCCTGGCAGCTCCATCCACACATCTGCATTTCCTTTTCCACAGTTGAGGGGTAAAAGGGACCTTACTCACCATAAAATTGCTGCTGGTTGTGTTGGAGAGAGGGATCCCTTAGCCTTTGCTGCCTCTGTGCCCAGTCCTTTCTCTCGACTGGCTATTCAGGGAAAACATGGGATGCTCTGTTTGCATCTTCCTCGATTTCCATGCAGAGGCTCCAAAACTGGGACAATGGTCTGATAACAGTAATTTTTTGCCTGCTTCACACAAGGCAGTGGCATCTCTTTACCCTTCTTGGCAGAGAGTAAGGATCCCTGGTGAGGGGGTGGGGAGCAGAACTGCCCAAAGAACCCCAAAATACCTGTCTGCTGTTGGCAAATAGCATCGTGCTCGCCATTTCCTTGCAAGAAGAAAAATCCCTTTTTTTCCACAGCTACCATGACTTTATAGAATTGTTGGTTAGTGCTGGTAGATGAGAATCTGAACAATTCCAGGTACCTCATTGCTCATCCCACATGCAGCCTCAGTGAGCTGGGAGAACTCTTGTTACCAGAGCCTGAATCCTTGTGTGTTGTATCTGAATCTTAAGAGTGTCATAAGGAGCACGCGATACCTCTGACTTTGTCTGGTTTTCTTAATGTTTGTCTGTTTTCAGTTTTTCCTGTTTTTTTTTTTTTTAATTATTCATGAAAATAAACTTTTGGAAATTTGGAGAAAACTGGTTTTACAGAAACAAATTTCTTTTTTGAGAGACATGTCTGAAAACATTTCCCTGTGGTCAAACATTGCACCCAAAATGGGCAGAATCATGTCAGGCAATTTGAGAGTGAGACAAGGTGATGCAGAGTGGAGCCAGTTGGACAATGTTTGGCTATATATGAATAACCACATACATTTAAAAGACACATTTGGAGATTTTAGTGAAGTAGTCTCAGATAAATTTCTGCTACAGCACAATGTGGCAGTGAGAAAAGGTACTAAAACTGCAATAACTGTCAGCATTGCATCTCTATAAGAATTGATGAGGGATATTCATATGCAGTTTTCTTCCCAAGTTTGCTGCTGAAATAGATGCAGCC